AAGTTGTGCACAGAGGCTTTTGCATATGAATGGCCTGACCTTTTGCAATCTAAGAAACTAGAGCTGGGTCAGAGAACCCCAGAGCTTCAAAAACAAAACAAAACAAAACAAAAAATCCCCCAAAGCTCTACAGCAGCTTGCATTGTGTCACAGCTGGGCCTCATCTGGGCACCTCCAAACTCCAAACAAAGAGGAGGAATCTGCAGATCTATCTGTAGCCTCTGCTGGATGGCCTCAGACAGTGGCTGACTTTGGACATCCTTGGAGATCCAAGAGCCAGTGTATCCAGTGGTCAGAGTGAGACCATCCAGATTACAACTCTTCACATCCATAAGAGGCACACTCAGGGGGCAGACTCAGTTAGCACCAAAGCCCTACTGATGCAAGTCCTGCCACATAAAGGTGTCTCCAGCACAGAAGGTTTCCCAGCCTAGACACAACTGATCCTCACAGCCAATTGGCCTGGAGGTCAATTCTTCCCAGTGATATCAACAGCAATCAAGGCTTAACTAGAATAAGACTCTGCAAACAGCACACAAAGGGGTGCACCAAAAGTGTCCACCTCTGAGAGGCTGAGCCACTAGCCCTATAGGACACCTAGCACACAAAGCCACTCTGTCAACACAGGGAAGCAGCCAAGATGTGAAGACAAAGAAACAGGTCACAAATGAAAAAAGTGGAAGAAAGTAAACTACTGGATATAGAGTTCAAAATGAAGGTTATAAGGTTACTCAAGAATCTTCCATAAACCTCTGAGAAATATAGTGAGACCCTCAAGGATATGAAAAAAGACCAGTTAGAAATTAAGCATACACTGACTGAAATAAAGAATAATATACAGAGATCCAAGAGCAGACTAGAGAATCCCAAGAATCAAGTCAAAGATTTTAAATACAAAGAAGCAAAAAACACCCAACTGGGAAAAAGGAAAATGAAAAAAGAATCCAAAATTATGAAGACAGTGTTAGGAACCTCTAGGACAACTTTAAGTGGACTGAATTATGGGGATGCCAGAAGAATAGAGAGAGCAAGATATTGAAAATTTATTTGAATAATGACAGAAATCTTCCCTAACCTGGTGAAAGAAATAGACTTACAAGTCCAGGAAATGCAGAGAACTCCAAACAAAAGGAATCCATAGAGGACCACACCAAGACACATCATAATTAAAATGTCAAGGGCAAAAGACATAGGGAGAATATTAAAAGAAGCAAGAGAAAAACAGTTAATTACCTATAAGGGAGTATCCATATGTCTGTCAGCTGATTTCTCAACAGAAACTATGCAGGCCAGAAGGGAGTGGCGAGTAATATTCAAAGTAATGAACAGCAAGAACCTACAACCAAGATTACTCTACCCAGCAAAGCTATCATTCAGAATTGAAGGTCAGATAAAGAGCTTTACAGATAAGAAAAATCTAGAGGAGTTCATCACTGCCAAACCAGTATTATATGAAATGCTCAAAGGTATTCTTTAAGAAGAGAAGAAGAAACAGGTAAAGATAAAAATTATAAACAACAATATCTATCAACATAGTGAATCTAAAAATCAAGTGAATAAAAAAATCTGATGAACAGAATAAACTGATGAATATAATAGAATCAGGGGCATATAAAGGGAGTGGACTGACAATTCTCAGGGGGAAGGGGATGTGGGGGTGTGGGGGTGTGGGAAGAAACAACAAAAATCATACACTTATGTATGAGGACAGTGAGGGGGCAGTAAGGGCAAGAGGTGGGGTGGGAACTGGATGAAAGGGAGCTATCTGGGGGGAAAAAGAGGAACAACTGTAATAAGCTGAACAATAAAGATTCATTAAAAATATAAATAAATAAATAAGTAGATAAATAAATAAATAAGCTGGTGGTACATTTACACAATGTAATACTACTTGGTTGTGAAAAAAGGGAAATCTTACTATTTGCAACAGCATAGTTGGACCTGAAGAGTATTATGCTATGTTAAATAAGCCAATCAGAGAAATACAAGTACCATATGATTTCACTAGTATGTGGAATTTAATGAATGACATGAACTAAAAGAAAAATAGTGACAGACCTATAGATAGAGAGCAGCCTTTTAGCTATCGGGAGATGGGGTTAAGGGGAATGGGGAAATTTAGCAAAAAATAAAGAGAAAACTCATGGACAAAGGATACTAGTGTGGGGATTGCTAGGGGAAGGGGGTTAGGGCAGGTGGAGTAGGCTATGAGGGGGATAAATGATGATGGACAGAGACTTGACTTGGGGTGGTGAACACATAGTACAAGTACAGATGATGTGATGTGGAATTGTGCACCTGAAACTTGTTCAATTTTGTTAACCAGTGCCATCCAATGAAAGGAAAACAATCGATGAAGAAACACATTAAAAATTAAGTTGGATATGTAAATATGAATAACATTTTATATGATAGCATATTTATGCCACAGTCTTTTAGCAGCAAGGGTTTGGGAATCTGTAGAAGGGGCTGATGCATAAATGGATGGAGAATAGACAAGAAATTAAATTTGAAAGGCATGGGAACCAGGTGGAAACCAGCTCTCTAGTGGAGTGGGCCCCTGAATGTCCGGACCCATGGCTTTTTTTTCACACATTTTTTCCTTTAGCAAAGCAGACACACATATCAAAGGTAAGATTTGGTAAACAATAAAAAAATTATCAGGTTAGGGGAATTGCCCTCAGCTTTTTGGTAGCAGGTAATAATATGCAGATCTTCGTCACTGCTGAAGATGCTAACTACTGTTCTTACCCTATAGGACATTTACACAATGAGAATAATACTCAGCCATAAAAGGAAGAAAATTTTACCCTTTGCAACTGCATGGAAGGACCTGGAAGACATTATGCTAAGTGGAGTAAACCAGTCAGAGAAAGACAAACACCATATGATTTTACTCATATGTGGAATCTAATGAACAAACTGAACTAACAAGCAAAATACAAACTATAGAGAGCAGGCAGTCAGCTCTGGTGAGAGGAGGGTTGAGAGGTGAGGGAGTGAAGGGATTGAGCAAAAAAGAAAAAAAAAGAGAGAAAGCTCATGAACACAGTGTGGTGTCACAGTGTGGAGGAGGATAAGTGGAGTGGAAGGCAGTTAAGCCAGGTAAATTGTAATGGGAAAAATAAAGGGGGAAAATAAAAAAAGAAAAAAGTTCAAATATTTTATTGAAAAATTTAAATAAAACTGCCTTTATTTTTTATTTTATTTATTTTTTTGCTAACTGGGCTAGTGCCTGGCCTAGAGTTATTAATGGTAAAAGAACCACCATAGTCAGCATTTTCTGGTTGGCATAATTTTGGGGGGGGGGGGGGACTTTGAAGCACATAATTATTTAAAAACTAGAGACCCGGTGCACAAAATTGGTGCATGGAGGGAGGGGCTGTCCCTCAGCCCAGCCTGTACCCTCTCCAATCTAGGACTCCTCTCACAATCCAGGATTGCTGGCTCCCAACTGCGCACCTGTCTGCCTTCCTAATTGCCCCTAAGCACTTCTGCCTACCAGCCTGATCACCCCTAACCACTCTGCTGCTTGATTGATGCATAACTGCTCCCCTGCCAGGCTGTTTGCCTCTAACTGCCCTAACCTTCAGGCCCGGTTATCCCTAACTGCCCTCCTCTACAGGCCTGGTCCCCCCAACTGCCCTTCCCTGCAGGCCTGGTCATCCCCAACTTCCCTCCTCTGCCATCCTGGTCACCCCTAACTGCCCTCCCCTGCAGGCTTGATTGCTCCCAACTGCCCTCCCTTGCAGGCCTGGTCCCTCTCAACTGCCCTCCTTTGCTGTCTATTTTGTGGTAGCCATCTTGTGTCCACATGGGGGCAGGATCTTTGACCACATGGGGGCAGCCATCTTGTGTGTTGGAGTGATGGTCAATCTGAATATTACTCTTTTATTAGATAGGATAGAGGCCTAGTGCATGGGTGGGGGCTGGTTGGTTTTCCCTGAAGGGTGTCCCAGATCAGGTTTAGGGTTCCCTTGGTGTGTGGGGTGGCCTGGGCAAGGGGTCTGTGTTGATTTTAAGGCTGGCCACATCCACTGGTGACTCAAGCAAAGGCCCTGGTATCTGGGTTATGTATCTTCTACAATTGAAACTTTGTAGCCTGGAGCAGAGCCAAGCCTCCTGCTTGCTCCATGGCTGCAACCATTTTTGTTTGGATTTGTTTACCTTCTATAATCGAAACTTTGTAGCATTGAGTGAAGGCCTAGGCCTGCAAGGGCAAGTGGAAAGTTTGGCTTCTTCCATTGCCAGGGAAAGCCAAGCCTCCCTCCTGCTCTCTGTGGCTGTAGCCATCTTGGTTGGATTTATTTGCATACTCATTCTGATTGGCCTGTGGGCGTGGCTGGTGAGTATGGCTGGTGGGTGTCGGGGAGGTATGGTCAATTTGCATATTACTCTTTTATTAGATAGGATATTTCACTGATTACAACATGGATAAAATTTAAATTAATCAACACAAAGTACTAAGCTTCAGTCTATGAATCCACCATTATTTTTAAGTACAGAAATGTTAATAGTTTATGAGCTATTAAATATCTATAGTGTATTGGAGAATCTATTTATTGGCATCCAACAACACTTTTTATTTTTACTTTAGGTAATTTCAAATTAACTCCACTTACATGAATTTTTTTTTAATAGGAAAGTAGAAATGAAGGTGTTAATTATGGAGAAAACTTGTATAATTTATAATACTTATTGATGTATTGAGCTATTTGATAGATGCAAACTGATTGTTTGCAGTTATGTGAAGATTTTGTTTAATCACCAATCTTGTCTTATGAAGCAATTGGAAAATTAATTAGAGACATCAGTAATCTGAAAGAGAATTAGCTCCCTGACTCTAGCCTGAAGTAGCTCTTCATTTTTTAGTTTTCTATGTTTCATATTTCCCCTTTCCTGTTGAATCACCTTTTTTTTTTTTTCTAGACAGTTATATTTCCATTCTAGAAAAAAGGATTCTCTTGGAGAATAGCTGCATTTACTTAAGTAATTTGATAATGTCAGTGTTTCCTGAATGTACTACATACTGTAAAATTGTATTTCTGCTGCTCTGATGTCTTTGGCAGCAAACTTTTCTTTGTGTCTCACACATTTATTCAAACAGCTTTTAGACAAGGTTATCCATAAATAACCTAAATCCCAAAGGTCAAATATGAACTTGGATTTCAATTTATTATCATTTAAATCTAGGTGTCTTCTTAAAACATAGCATTAAGAAAAATTCTATATAATGAAAGGCTAGTATGCAAATTGACCAAACAGTAGAACAACCAGTCGCTAGGATGCACACTGACCACCAGGGGCAGACGCTCAATGTAGGAGCTGTCCCCTGGTGGTCAGTGCACTCCCACAGGTGGAGCGCTGCTCAGCAAGAAGCCAGGCTCACTGCTGGTAGGTGCAGTCAAGGTGGCAGGAAACTCTCCCTCCCCTAAAAAGTGCTAAGGATGTCCAACTGAGAGCTCCCAGACTGCAAGAGGGTGCAGGCCAGGCTGAGAAACCCTCCTCTCCCTAAGTGCATGAATTTCATACACTGGGCCTCTAGTGAAATATAAATTTAAAGGAAGATCAATTGTAATATATCTGAGGCAAAGCACATTTTGAGTGTATGTGTGTGTGTGAATAAGAATAAATGCCCAAAACATAATAAAAAAAAAATTAATGAAAGCTGAGGACACATCATAAATACAGGTCAAGAATTAGCTAGGCTTGCTATAGGAAATACTTATATCAGCTATTTAAACTCTAAAACCTTAGAGAAAAGCATGCATAATTTAATATCCAATAGTGTGATGGAGGAGGTTCTTGTGGTGAAGGTGGGTTTGCAAAAGCCTATTATGCACAATTCTTTTCAACTCGTGTTTAGTAACCATAATCAGTTGCTTGAAATCAGCTGTGGTGAGATTATTTACATCACAGAAATAAGCAAATATTTCTAATCAGGGCTTTTTCTCTTTGAAGACCTACTTAGTAAATTTACTAGATTAATGGTAATCTAAGAAATGAAGATTGGAATGTATAACTTTTTATTTTATTTTTTAATATTTATTATTTAAAGTATTACATATGTCCCCCATTTTCCCCACTGACCCCTTCTAGCCTGTCTCAACCCCCACCTCAGGCCACCACCACCCTATTGTCTATGTCCATGGGTTATGCATATATGTGTGAAACTTTTTTGGTTGATCTCTTCCCACCTACCCCACCTTTTCTCTCATATTTGTTCCATGCTTCTATGTCTCTGGATTATTTTGTTCATCAGTTTATTTTGTTCATTAGATTCCACATATGAGTGAGATCATGTGATACTTATCTTTCTCAGGGTGATTTATTTCACTTAGCATGATATTTTCCAGGTTTCCTATGCTGTCTCAAAGGGTAAGAAATCCTTCTTTTTTACTGCTGCATAGTATCATGCCACGGTGTAAATGTGCCACACTACTGGTGGGAATGCAGGCTGCTATAGCTATTATGGAAAACAGTATGGAATTTTCTCAAAATTAAATATGGAACTGCCATTTGACCCAGTAATCCTAAGAAACCTGAAACACCAATAAAAAATTTTATGTACTGCTATGTTAATAGCAGCCCAATTTATAATAGCTAGGATTTGGAAACAGCCCAAGTGTCCATCAGTAGATGAGTGGAATGCATAACATTTTAAAGGCTCAATTTAAAGAAAGCACATTGTTCTTGGTGAGACTCCAGTGTTATTTTTAGTGTTAACAACTGTGGTTGGTCATCTTCCTGAATCCTACTTCCATCCTGCCATCATTTTGACATTTCCAACCTGATTCCAGAGTTCCCTGGAGACCAGAGGAAGTAAATCCAAGTAACAATTATCCAGTCAGGCCTATAAGGATCAAACACTTGGTAGTCAAAGCCCATCTATTCCTGTATTTGCCTCATATCCTTTTTAGATGGTTGGTTAGGAAAATTGAAGGTCTGCTAAAACATACAATCAAAACCAAAAGCTCCTGGCTCCCTGTGAATGCTGCCTATTAACACTGACAATTATGTCAGGTGGTATGCAAGAAAGAGTTAACTCTACAGCATTTGTGCACTTACTGTGGACTAAAGACTTAATTCAGCAGAATTAAGTTGTTTGAACCCTACACATTCCAAAGAAAGGACTGTCCCTTGATAAGTCCATGGGAGAAAATCTCTAAACCATAGAACTATCCTGCCTAATAATAGTGTTTGTATACCAGGGTCATGAACCATGCCAGAGAGTTTATACTAAGTGTCATTTATTGTGGGGCCTTGAGTTATGCTATATTTGTTTGATCTCTGGAGAGACGAGGTTCAGTAACATAGATCAGCCAGGCTCGTGCTCCATGCCAACATGACTAACCTGCACCACCCCTGAAAATATCTGTACACCATAGCTCAGGTGAGCTTTCCTTTTTGGCAGTACCATGCAGGTTGTCACATGACATTGCTAAAAGAATTAGCACTGTCTATATGACTTATCTAGGAAAGGAAAACTGAAAGCTTATGGGATTGGGGGAGGAGGGCGGGTGTGCAAGAGGCAGCTGATCGATGTTTCTCTCTCATTGATGTCTCTAGCTCTCTATCTCTCTCCCTTCCTCTCTGTAAAAAATCAATAAAATATATATTTAAATTTTTTTTTTAAATAAAGAAAAAAAATGTATCTTTCCCATCCTCTGGGAGACTTATGATGGATATAAAAAAAGATATCCAAGAGCCTCTTTTTTAGGATAAAGAAATGCATCTTTGTTTTACAGATATAGGAAGAAGAAGCAAGAGAAAATATTGTTTTAATTATTTTTTTTATTTTTTTGGAAAGAATAGAATATAAAATCCACCTTCAACAAAATGTTAAGTGTACAGTACATTATTATTATTATGGGTACATTTTGTAGATTTATAGAGCATGTTCATCTTGCTTGACTGAAACTTTATGGCCCTTGATTAATATTATTTTCCCCACCCCCTAACTAATACCAACCACCAGTCCACTCTGATTCTGTTAATTTGACAACTTTTTAAAGATAAAGTAGTTTAATTTATTATTTTTTCTTCCTTGTGAGCCCAGGTGCCTAACCTAGATTAGCCTCCAAATTTGCTTGAAAGGAGCGTCCATTTTCATTTTTCTATGGGACTTGCTGAACTTTGGGCAGATGAAGAAATACTTCATAGTCTTTAATAAAATTGAGTCCTGAAGAGCCTTAGAGGTCAATGGATGAGGAAGTTCCCATGGGTAGTTGAATAGATTATATATATATATTAGAAATTGTGCTAAAATACTTACTGATAAAAATATAGAATAAAACACACTTAGAAACTGCTCATTTCAATCATGTATAGTTAAATTTTTAAAAAAATATTTATATATACTAGGTGTACTGGTTAATAATGGCAAATTTTGTAATCAAAGAAAACATGATAATTTCAGGAGAAACATCAAAAGTGCTTTATTCAAAGTAATGCCCCTATATTTCAGGTGAGTTGTGGATACCATCCCAATTTTGTGCATCGGGCCTCTAGTAACTGTATAAAAGGCCTTCTGGGAGGACTTTAACAGAGAGATTGACAACAATACAGTCATAGTAGGGACTTTAACACCCCTTCTGATTATCCTAGATAGCTCTTCCAGACAAAGACTTAACAAGGAAACAGTGACTCTAAAGGACACATTGGATCAGATGAATTAAATTGACATTTATAGAACATTTCAACCTAAACCAGCAGAATATACATTCTTCTCAAGTGCACATGGATCATTCACAAAGATAGACTACATGTTAGGACAAAAAACAAGTCTCTACAAATTAAGAAAGATTAAATCTATCAAGCATCTTCTCACATCACAGAGGAATGAAATTAGGAATCAACTACAGTAAAAACACCCCAAAACATTCACACATGGAGGCTAAAATAGCATGTAATTAAACAACTAGAGACCTGATGCATGAAATTCGTGCACTTGAGGGGGTCCCTACAGCCTGTGCCCTCTCACAGTCTGGGAGCCCTGGGGGGATGTCCAACTGACAGCTTAATGGGTCTATGCCTTCAGTCCGACATCATTAACATTGCCTCAAAGGTGGGAGAGGCCCCTACCACTGCTGCTGTGCTCGCCAGTCATTAGCCCAGCTTCTGCCTCAGTGGCACTCCCCTTATAGGAGTGCACTGACCACCAGGGGGCAGCTTCTGTATTGAGTGTCTGTGAACATCATAGTGACCATTTGGTCATTTGCATATTAGCCCTTTATTATGTAGGATATGCAGTAGATGAAGCCCCCTAGAACCATAAGAAATGCAAAAAAAAAAAAAAATCAGTTAACTTATTCTCGAATTTCCCCCTCTTAAAATTAAATTGCTCCCACTTTGGGGTGAGTGCTGCACCTTGGGAACCAGTGGGCTTGTCACTTTTCCTCTCTGAGCTTCATTTCTGAATACATACGCATAGACCATAGGAATTGTATGCCTACCTAACTGAGTTGTCATGAGGAGGTTCTGAGCTAATAAACCTAGAAATGTTTCATCAAGTAAGTGATGTCTAAACTGGAAGGGATTGTTGTTTTTAAGCCCACGGGAAGCAGGTAGCAGGTGCTGATTAGGGGAGGAGGGCATGATTGTCTCCTGGGACTGTAGCTATGTATTTTTGCAGAGGGTTCTGCAGGCCTCAGAGAGGTGGGCTCTGGCCAGCAGTCCTGTACTGTGGTCATCCCTGGAGGATATGGCAGGAGGTGGGGCATGAGAGGGGTACTAGGGGGGCAGCAAGGCTGAAGGGGGAGTTACTGTATCTTCCCATTTGGCGTCATTTTTTAAATTGTATGTGGCTGTTTCACAGCTATACCTGCTCAGGGCAGGGCTCTGATCTCCTGGAACAGGGCGGAGCCAGGTGGGCTAGGAGGGTGGGTTTAGTCACGCCCCCAGCGAGGTTCAGCACACTTCAGCTGTGGAGATGGTGCTGCTGCTGTCGGGTGAAGGGTCTGACCCTGGGAGGCCACTCAGGCCTGCCTCTCCCTAGGTCTGGAGTTGTAGGGAGGAGAGGCATGCCTGGCACCAGCGGGGGGCGGGGGAGCCTGGCAGTGGCAGACTGTGGGCCCCAGGGATGCTGAGGGGTGATCACCCGCATGTTATTGTTGTGGGAGCTCTTGGTGGGGGTGGCGGGGGAAGAGATCAGGAGTTGGAGGTGCAGGCTGCATCTACCCCTGAGACTGGATCTTCTCCCCATCTGGTCAGCCTCCCCATCACCCCGGGGGTTCAGGGGCTAGGGTAGAGTGCCCCTGCAGGGGGATTGGAAGAGCTCCCCATGGCCACTTTCTCTTCCTTCTTTGCAGTCCAGGCTCCTGTCAGGCAGTCTCCTCAGACCCCCGGGAACTTGGTGCCTGCTGCCTGCCCCCAGTTGCATGCTCATCAATATGCAAATAGGTCATTATGGGGACACCATTATATACAACAAATTAGCATATTACCTCTTTATATGTATAGACTAGTGGGTTACCAACAAGGTCAAGAAAGAAGTAAAAAACTTTCTGATAACAAATGAAAATGAACACACAACAACCCAAATCTCTGGGACACAGCAAAAGCAGTCCTGAGAGGGAAATTCACAGTACTATATGCATAAAAAAAAAAAAAAAATCAGCCATAAACTATTGAACCCTACAACATGAAGACTGTAAAGAGTCCTAACCTGTTTGGCTCAGTGGATAGAGCATCAGCTTGTGGACTGAAGGGTCCCAGGTTCCAACCCAGTTAAGGTATGTACCTTGGTTTCAGGCACATCGCTAGTAGGGGATGTGCAGGAGGCAGCTGATCGATGTTTCTCTCTCATCAATGTTTCTAACTCTCTATCCCTTTCCCTTCCTCTCTGTAAAAAAAAAAAAAATTAATTTATTTTTAAAAACAGAACTATAAAGAGAACAACAAGAAAAGTCCAGAGTAAGCGTAAGAAACTAAATAGTAAAGATTAGAGCAGAAATAATAACATGGACAAAAAAAACCCCACAAAAAGGCAACAATAAAAATAAAATCAACAAACCAAGAGCTGGTTATTTCAAAGGATAAACAAAATTGATGACCTGTCAGTCAGACTCATTAAGAAAGAAAGAGAGGACCCAAATAAATAAAACAAAAAATGAAAGCGGAAAAGGAACTACTGATAACACAGAAATACAAAGGATTGTAAGAAAATACACAGAAATACAAAGGATTGTAAGAAAATACTATGAACAATTATATTCCAACAAGTTGGACAATGTGGATAAAAGGGACACATTCCTAGAAAAATATAATCTCCCAAAAATGATTCATGAAGAATCATAATACCTGAATAGGCAAAATACAACTGACAAAATAGAAACAATAATAAAAATCCCCCAGCAAACAAAAGCCCAGCTCTGGTTGGCTCTACAGGGGAGTTTTACCAAACATTCAAAGAACAATTAACTGATACTCCTCAAAATATTCCAAAAAATAAAAATAAAAAAAAATCCAAGAGAAAGGGATACTTCCAGACATTTTTTTTTTATGATGCTAGCATTATCCTAATTCCAAAACCATATAAAGACATTATAAAGAAAGGAAATTACCGGCCAATATCCCTGATGAACATGGATGCTAAAATCCTTAGCAAAATATTAGCAAATTGGATCTGGCAATATATTAAAAAGAGCATTCATGATGACCAATTGGCACTTATTCCAGGGATGCAATGCTGGTACAATACTTGCAAATCAATAAACGTGATACGTAACATCGTATAAACAAATTGAAAGACAAAAATCACATGATCATATCACTAGATGGAGAAAAACCAACAAAAGCCAACACTCACTTTTGATAAAAACTCAGCAAAGTGGGAATAGAGGAAGCCATATATGACAAAGCTACAGAGGACATACTCAATGGGCAAAAACTAAAACAATTTTCCCTAAGAACAGGAATAAGACAGGGATTTCTGCTTTCAACACTCTTATTACTCAACATAGTACTGGAAGAGCGGGGCCACGGATGAAGATGTCGACTGCCATGTACTTGGAGCACTACCTGGGCAGTATGGAGAACCTTCCTTGTGAACTTCAGAGGAATTTCCAGCTGATGCATGAGCTGGACCAGAGGACAGAAGAGCAGAAAGCAGAGATTGACATCCTGGCCGCGGAGTACATCTCTACAGTGAAGACTCTGTCCCCAGAGCAGCGGGTAGAGAATCTGCAGAAGATCCAGAGCGTCTACAGCAAGTGCACGGAGTATAGCGATGACAAGGTGCAGCTGGCCACGCAAACCTACGAGATGGTGGATAAACAAATTGGGAGGCTCGACGCAGACCTGGCGTGCTTTGAAGCAGACCTGAAAGACAAGCTGGAAGGTAGTGACTTTGAGAGCTTTGGAGGACGAGGTTTAAAAAAAGGTTGAAGCCAGAAAGAAAAGTTCCCAGTGGCAAGGCAGAAGGACCTCAGAAGAAGACACTCCAAAGAAAAAGAAGCATAAAGGAGGGTCAAAGTTCACTGACACTATCCTGTCTGTGCATCCCTCTGATGTGCTGGACATCCTGTGGACCCCAACATGCCCACCTACTGTCTCTGCCAACCGGTGTCCTATGGGGAAATGATTGTCTGTGACAACCCAGATTGTTTGATCGAGTGGTTTCACTTTGCCTGTGTAGACCTGACCACGAAGCCCAAAGGAAAATGGTTCTGTCCTCGGTGCATCCAGGAGAGGAGGAAGAAGTAAGGAAGAGGATGACACTGAGCCTGAAGAGCAAGTAGATACACTCCTTTATTCACGTTGCAATATTTTACCTTCATCTTAAAGCTACCTTATTTTGAATGATATTTAATAACTCAGTGGCCAGTTGTAACTCTGGATATTTCCTAAAACCAACAAGAACCCACCTCATACCCTGTTTGCACAGAGGAGGGATCTTGCCACAGTGACTTTGTTCTCATGACTTTTTGTACAGACCCAGCACTGAGCACAGCAGTCCCACCACCCCGAGGACTCCATGGGTGTGTGCATGCGGTGTGCTGAGTAGGGTAGAACGTGCCAGCTGGGAGCAGATACTGCCATCATTTTGCAGCTAGAAGTGTGAGCCTTGTATGGTCTGCAGTTTCCTGGGCTTCCCCTGAGAGCCCACACCACTCTGTGCACACTGGCCACGCTGAGCGCACCGGTGTGTAGTCTGGTGGGCGTTGCCGGAAGGCGCCCTCCGGACTCAGGTGCGCTGGGAGCTCGCGGCTGCACACGAAGGCTGCGCCTCCCAGAGGAGCTCTGCGTGGCTGTGCACTGCCTTTTACCTGGACTTCCGGTTTTTCCCTGAGGTTTCACTGTCCGGAGTAAACCGCCCTGGATTGGCAGATGGGCTGTAGGTGACCATGACCAGCACCAATAAGAAACAGCGTAACAGACTGGCCGATGTTCCATTTCTCTGGGAATTCCGGATGTTTTTACTGTGAAGATGAAATTACTGCAATTGCACGAAGTCTGTCTGTGAAGTGAGTCCAGTCTACCAAGAGCTGATTTTGAACCTGCTTCTGTTACACACTGGGTCAGCATTTTGTCTTCCAGAGGACTACAATTATGTGATGTGATTTGTGAATTTGTGCCACAATAGCAGTTCTGGAATGAAGCTAGGAAACGAGAGTGTACTTTCTGTTTAATCAGCATTCACCAAACTGGTTTTAAACCGTCTCTTTGGTACTAGCTGGGGACATCGCATACATTTGGTATGTTGAGATCCACTTGTGATGGTACCTAGAGTGGGGCCTCCGGGAGTGTCCCCGGACTCTCCAAGACGCACCCCGCATGGTTCAGACAAGTCAGGGTTTCTTTTGCCAAAAAAAAAAAAAAAAAAAATCCAAGAGATAGAATCGAGGTGTGAAATGCCCAGCTTCAGAAGAATCTCTGTGAGGAGCGTCCTCTGGAGTGGCCAACCTGCAGAGGAACTGGTGAAGCTGCATCCTAGACCAGCCCCTCCATGCAAATGAGTTAATATTTGACAATTAGGAGCAGATATCAGAGGGCAGCTGGGGTCCAGCTGGAATTTGTGGCCCTTAGTGAGTCTTACCTTGCACAGAACGTGTCCAACGGCTGTACTTTCTAGAGCCACCCGAGGGAGCAGGACTTGCTTCCACAGGACTGCTGGTAGGGATCACTTCAGCTTGTGTGCTGGTGGTTAGAGTAGGGGTCAGCAGCTGCCACAGCCTGTCCCTGGTGGGTTCCAGGCCTGATGCACTGTCTCAGAACTGATGTCTTCTTGCTGCTCAGGAAGAAGTAACTCAGCTGCACTGGAACACGAGGCCCGCTTATATTTAGAAACTTAACTTTTACATTACAGGTGTCTAAAGATTGTGAGGGATCAGTTGTAGACATTTTTCCCCACTTTTACCAGTTTTTTAATAAGTCCACATGCCACAACCAAGGCCTGCCCCGTCACAGGATTTGGATACTTCTTATGGGCATTGTTGAGTTAAAGTTTTCCTCCATTTTTAATGAACGGTGATTAGTTGTCTTTACCTGTGCTGAGAGGCATTTACAGTGGGAAGTCTAAGAAATGTTCTCATTCAGGAGACAGTCCTATGAAGTTTCTTCCTTTGTATGTGTTCTGTGGTGTTCACTTTTACCACATTTCATCCAAAAAGATGATGCAGCTTTAACATGAATGTTACATTTTATTTTCAAGGAATTATTACCTACTATGTTCCCTTTGTAAAGGAAAGATAATATTGTAAATCTTTTTATTAAATAATGTAAAGATGTATATATGTATTTTTGGTCATGTTATAGATTATGGATATATTGTTTAATAAATAAAGTATTTTTTAACAAAAAACAAAACAAAAAAACCAACATAATACTGGAAGTCCAAGCCACAGTGATCAGATAAGAAGAAGAAATAAAAGGCATTCAAATTGGAAAGAAGGAAGTAGAACTCTCATTATTCACAGGTGACATGATATTGTACACAGAAAACCCCAAAGACTCCAACAAAAAACTACCAGATTTAGTAAATGAATTTGGCATTGTAGTAGGATACAAAATTAACACCCAGAAATTGATAAGTTTTTATATACACCAAAAATGAATTCTCAGAAAGAGAAACTAAACAAATAATCCTATTGACCATTGAAACAAAAACAAAAACAAAAAATTTAAGATACTTTAGAAATAAACTTAACCAAGGAGGCTAAAGACCTGTAGTTAGAAAACAATAGGATGTTGAAAAAAGAGACAGGAGAGGATATAAACAGGTGGGAGAATATAGCATGTTTATAGATTGGTAGAATCAACAGCATTAAAATGTCCATATTACCTAAGGCAATCTACAGATTCAATGCAGTCCCTATTAAAATATCAATGGCATATTTCACAGAGCTAGAACAAATACTCCAAAAATTTATATGAATCAAAAAAGGCCCCAAATAGCTATAGTAATCTTGAGAAAGAAAAACAAAGTTGGAGGAATCACAATATTAGATTTCAGGTTATACTGCAAAGCTACCATAATTAATACAGCCTGGTCCCGACACAAGAACAGGCATATAGTCAAATGGAACATAACAAAGAGCCTAGAAATTGGCCCACACCATTACAGTTAATTACTATTTGACAAAGGAGGTATGCACATACAATGGAATGAAGAGAGTCTCTTCAATAAATTATATTGGGAAAATTAGACAGATACATGCAAAAGAATGAAACTAGACCATCAACTTATACCATACACAAGAATAAACTCAATATGGATAAAATACTTAAATGTAAGTAGTGAAACCATAAAAATCCTTGAAGAAATCATAGGCCTTAAAATCTCAGACATCTCTCACAGCAATATGTTAATGGATACAGCTCCTAAGGCAAAGGGAACTAAGGGGAAAATAAACAAATGGGACTACATCAACAAAACAAAAAGGGACCCCACTTTATGGGAGAACATATTTGGCAAGGGTACATCTGATAAAGGATTAACATCCAAATATATAAGGAACTTATCCAACTTAACAAAAGTAGACAAAAAAGCCAATTAAAAAATGGGCAAGAGATCTAAAAAGTCACTTCTTCAAAGAGGACACAAAGATGGCCAAGAGATATGAAAAATGCTCCAAGTCAAGGATCATCAGAACAATGCAAATTAAAATGGCAATGAGGTATCACATTACACCTGTCAGAATGGCTATCATCAACTTATCAACAAACAACAAGTGCTGGAGAATATGTGGAGAAAAGGGAACCTTAATACACTGCTGGTGGAAATGCAGACTGGTGCAAACACTATGGAAAACAGTATGGAGTTTCCTCAAATAATTAAACATGGAACTGCTGTTTCACCCAGTGATCCCACTTCTAGGAATATATCCTAAGAAACCCCAATCACTAATTAGGAAGAATGTATGAACCCCTATGTTCATAACAGCCCAATTTACAATAGCTAAGATCTGGAAACAGCCCAAGTGTCCATGAGGAAATGATTGGATAAAAAAGCTGTGGTACATTTACACCATAGAATACTATGCAGCGGTAAAAAAGAAGAATCTCTTACCCTTTGAGACAGTATGGAGAGATCTGGAGAGTATCATGCTAAGTGAAATAAATCAGTCAGAGAAAGAAAAGTATCACAGAATCTCACTCATATGTAGAATCTAAGTAACAAAATAAAGTGATGAATGGAGTGGATCCAGAGACACGGAAGCATGGGACAGAGTGCCAAATCTCAGAGGGAAGGTGGGGGAGGGTAGATGGGTGGAAGGTAATCAACCAAAGACCTTGTATGCATATATGCATGGCTCATGGACACAGACAATAGGGTGCTGAAGGCCTGGGGTGGGGTGCAAGGTTGGCTGGAATGGGTCAATAGGTGAAAAAATGGGACATATATAATACAACAATAAAGATTCATTAAAAAACAACAGAAATAAAATCAAAATAATAACAATAGAAATAATAACAATAATAATAAACTGTTTTTAATTGGTCCATTTTACCTAGAACTGAATTTTCAATTTTCTCAAACAGCATAAATTTCATTAGCAAAAGACCTTAATTAGAACAGACCCCTGAATAACATCATTTCATTCAAAATAATTTCATTAAAACATTGGTGAGATACCTTAGGAAACTGACTCTTATTTATATCGATTAGCCTATGGAAAATTTGGTTTGTTATACATCGTTTTGCTCAAAGTTGCAGGACCTATCAATGTAAAGTGAGAAATTATTATATAAGAAATTAAATTCATTGATAGGCAAGTGCTTGTCTCCTACAGTCATGTATTAATCAGATATTGGACCTTTGTCAAGTGAAATGAAAGTTTTGTCTGTATTCTATCTGAGGCAGCAATGGGCATACTCCTCAGGATCAGTTATGGCTTGAGTCCTGCAGAGGGGTTCTGAGCTGATGTAGTCTTACTGAACCATGCTCTGGGTGCTGAACTGAGTCTGTCCCAAGGAATGAAAGTTTGTGTTTTTCGCTTGTTTATTTGTTTTCTAATTCTCACAAAGAGAACTGATGAGTTAGCAATGTCCCTACAGAAGGCAATGATTCTTGGAGATTGGCAACCTATTTGGACTACTTATATACATAATAATCTTAGTAGTATCATTATTTGTCAGTGAAATGTGAGTCCTTGGGCTTCTTCTTCATCTATGCCTACTACAACATATTCCTCATGTGCTCTTGTATAACAATGTCTTTTAAAATTGTATTTCCCTGGGGAAAACAGAATCATTTATTTTTTATTGTATTTATTCTTCTAAGTTTTTATATTGAAACTAGAGGCCCAGTGCATGAAATTCATGCATGGTGTGTGTGTGTGGGGGGTCCCCTCAGCCCAATCTGCACCCTCTCCAATCCTAGACCCCTCAGGAGATGTCCTAAACTAGCAGTCAGACATCCCTCTCACAATCTGGGACCACTAGCTCCTAACTGCCCCCCCTGCTAGCCTGATTATCCCAAAATGCTCCCACTGCCAGCGTAGTCACCTCCAAACCCCTCCTCCATGCCACCAGCTTGGTCACTCCTAACTGGCCTGGTCACCCCTTAGAGCCCCCCCACCAGCCTGGTTGCCCCTAACTGCCACCCCTGCTAGCATGGTCACTCCCAACTGACCCACCTTCCAGCCTGGTAGCCCCTCACTGCTCCTCTCCGCCGGCCTGGTCACCCCTAACTACCCCTCATGCAGCCTTCTGCTCAGTCTTTTGGTTACTCTTCACTAAGCCCCCTGCCAGCCTGGTCGCCCCACACATCCTGTTCAGTTGTCCGTTCAGTGTTTCGGATGCGATGGTAACTTAGCCATATATATGTACTCTTTTAGAACTTAGATTAATGGCTTGGTAACAGAACTGTATCTTAGCATTTGCCCTCACATTTTTTATTGTCTAATGAGATACCTTTTAAATATGGCCACATTTACCTGACAGGTATTTGTAAGATCTAATTATCAATTTTTCATGAATTGGGAATAAATCAAATGAACATATTACTCTAGAAATCTTTCTGACATTTTCAAAACCTGTATCTTTTGTTTATTTTTGTTATTTATTGATTTACTGTGTACAATTTTTATCTTTACTTGAAACTCTCATTTCCCAATTGCCTATATTTTAAAGTTCTTATGCAAACAGAAAAATAACAATCACTCTGGGACAAAAATTCTGTAAAGGTCATAGACAAATATATTTCTCTAAAAAGGAAAATAAACTATGTGTGTAGATAATGCTTTGTCTGATAATCTGTTGTGTCAGGATCTGATTTAAGTTACATGTCCTTTTTACCTCTTTGATTTTTTTTTTTTTAGTTAGTCCTTCAAAGTTTCTAAAATTTATACTTTATTGCTCCTAATATTTTGGTACTCCGACTGATCAGGTTTATGAAGAAGGATTAAAATCCACACATACATGCAGATTGCATGCAGTCTCATTGAGAAGATATTGCTTATAGATTATATATTTGTAATTTCTTCGGAAAATTTTTTTGTCAGAATACACATGGAGCAATAACACCAGCATCTCAATATTCTTCCCAAATCAGTCCATACCTAAACAGAGAATATAACTGAGCATGCAGCAAGTCTCTCA